ATGAGAAAACATAGGATAACATAGGAAAACACAAGATGGCATTTTAAGGTGACATCTAAAGATCAGGATGATCACCCAGCTGAGATTACACGTTAAACAATAAAGTATCGCACTTGATATATTCCTTAACAATATTTTTATCTGCACATTTGTTTGGAAGTATAACAATTTTAGGGAGGCATTGCAGCATGAACTTTATACTGCCTGGTTTTATTCAGATAAGAATATCCAATAAGATGGTGACTGGAGATTATATCCCCAGAGCTATAAGGACATGGAAAATAAAACAACACAACACAAAAGAGACCTATAATGAAGAATTTAGGGTGTTTTGGTGTAAAAATCTTCATCCTTGGAACCAGGCAAACCTGGAAATGAATACAGGTGAGTACTAATGCAAGTCAATGGCCATGACTATATGGGTAGATTACTAGATATCTTTGAGTTTCTTTACCTGTGAGATGTCAACCACAGTCTATGGTGGGGGGGGGGTGTCAATAAATAAAGGCCAGTTGCCTGTTTTTATCAATAAAGTATTATTGGAATATAGCCATAATCACTGTCTGCGGCTGCTTTCTGCTAGAAGGCAAAATTGAGAGGTAACAGAAACTGTATGGCCTGTAAAATCTGCAATATTTACTATGTGTCCTTTATAGTAACCATTTGCCAATCTCTGGTCTGTGTGGTTGCTATATGGACTAGAAATTATTTAACATAGTGCTTGGTACACAGTAGCTGTTTCTTTAGATCATTATTCAAGTAAGGAGGGAAAGGTTAAGGTCATAAAAATGTGTATGACAGAACCACACAGAAAATGTCTCAACTGCCAAATCCTGTTGATCAGTGAATCCTTAATCATCTGAGAAGAAGCTCTTGCCCAAAGTGCTCTTGCTTCATGTAGTTGACAGCAAAGATCTTAACCTGTTCTTTACTCGTATGGGAAAATGATGCAGGATAAATGCAAATTAAATGGGCACTGAGATACCATTTCTCACCTATCAGACTGGCAAAAATCTCAAGTTTGACAGCATGTTCTGTTGATGAGGCACTGGGGAAATAATCACTCTCCTGCATTGCTAGTGGGAGTGCAAACTGTCAAAAGTCGAGAGAGTGAAACTTGGCAAAATTAGCAAAATTCCGTATAAATTTACCCTTTGATTGTCCTTGGGAATCTAATCCCTAAGATAATCTGGCAAAAGCACAAGTGTGCACAGGGTTATTCATTACAGAGTTCTTTTGGAAGAGCAAAAGACTGGAAATAGCCTGAAGGTCCACCCACAGAGTACTGGCAAAGAAGGAGTTGAAGCAAGTTGCTTGTGATCCATTTTCCCCTGAATACCAAGGAGATACTGGGGTTGAGGGAAGTAGGTAAGTGACCTGGTTTAGGTTCTGTGTAAACATATTAACTAGATCACCGGGCAAACAGATTAATTAATTAGTTTTTCTTTCGCTAGGAAGAGAGTCCTCATCAATGGAATGTGTCGAGCAGGAAAGCCCTGGTTCAAGATGTTACAATAAACAAATCTTCAATCCATAGATGGATGAGTTATGACTCTTTGGAGAAGGTCACATTTCTTAGGCATAAAACTAGACATGTTGCAAAATCAAATGCCTCCTCCTACATGAGGGACTTGCAAATCTCATTAGAAACCTCAACTATCACTCTGGGTCAAAGGGGATAGAGCCGGTATGAAAAAGGACCTGAGGAGTCACATGGGCTATCCTGGATTTCTCCTTACATTACCAGTGTCCTTTGGTCATTTGAATCCCTGAAATGATTAGTAAAGCTTGATACTGGATAAGATCCCAGTCTCATCCTTTGTGCTGGCTCATCCACACAAAGGAGTGCCACCGGCAGGTTCATGGAGTGATGAATACCTGTCGACACTGATGGGGAATGATCTCCACAATATACTCTCAAAGTGTAGAATAATGGGTATAATATGCCACTCTTCATGCAAGATAGGGCAAGGATACAGATACACACGAGGACTGGCTTGCACGTGTGAAAATAAACACCAAAAGGTTAAACCAAAAGCTAATAAACATGGTAATTGTAGAAGGAGGAAGGCGTGGGGCACAGGGGAAGAAGATGCATGTGACATTTCTCTGGAAACACGTTATGCATATAAAAACAATATAAGTGGTACATGGAGATATATACATGCGATGTATTCAAAAATGAAATGTTAAAAATCCATTGACATTAAAAAGGTTCTGAAACAAATGAGCCAAGTTATATATAAAAAGTTAGACTACGATCACATAGAAAAAAAACCTTAAGCAACTTTACTTTTACTTTTCATTCTTTGATTGTACATCCTTAATGTAATACAAAGTTAAGACAATGAAAATTTAATTAATTAATTTAATGTATTTATTTTACATTTTTGTTTTTTTGGAGAGAGGGAGAGAGCATGAGCACGAGCAGGGTGGGGGGAAAGACAGAGAGGGAGAGGGAGAGAGAGAGAATCTTAATCAGACTCCATGCCCAACACAGAGTCCAAGCCAGAACTGGATCTCACAATCCTGAGATCATGACCTGAGCCAAAATCAAGAGTTGGACATTTAATCGACTAAACCGCCCAGGCACCCCAAGACAATGCAAGTTTTAAAGGCTTCATTTAACATTCTTAGTATGAATTGTAATATTAGTGTATTATTTTTAAATTATTTTATATAATATTTTATATATACTATATATTATATATATATATATACATTAAAATGAAATAAGTTTTGTTAAGAACCAAACAAAACTTTATTTTTCAGTGAAAAATAAAATAAATACAAATATAGTACCAGAGAAGTTAAAAATTCTGTAGGGCTACATTTGATCTGGAAATAATGTATGAATTTAGGGTATTTTTTTAATTAAAAAAAAGTATTTTCTACCTCTAACATGTATTGAAGAAACAGCCCGGAAACAATGATGGTCTAGAAATGATGGGCATCCCAAGTATTTAGACTGTGATTTCAAAATACCACTCTCCACAAAGAAAGTAGGGCTCCTTGGAAGAATGCGTGACTCCGGGTCCGGAATACTGGATGGGCTTGTACATAGAACTGTACTAGAAACTCGGAAACTATAAAAGACTGATGGTCCTGGGTCAAAAGGACAAAAAGCCAAGGTGAAGTTGTTCCCAGTGAGTGAAAGGGAACATGCTGAATTGACATGAAATAGAATGAATAGAGACACAATCCCACAAACAGACAAATCCAGAACGTGAGACATTCTTCAAGACAACTGACCTAGTTTCTTGATAAGTCAATGACATGAAGAAAACAAAATGAAGTTGGTAGGGAATTGTTGTCTGTGATATAACAACAAACAGGAATGTGTGTGCTTCAATAGCACCCTGATTCAAACCAGTATCTTTAAGATGGCATTTTTGAGATCATCAGGAAATGGAAGCATTGAGATACCAAGGGCTTTTTTTTTTTTTTTTAAGTTTATTTATTTTTGAAAGAGAGGGAGAGAGTATGAGCTGGGGAGGAGCAGAGAGAGAGGAGACAGAGAATCCCAAGCAGGCTCTGTGCTGTCAGTGCAGAGCCCAATTTGGGGCTAGAACTCATGAACCCCAAGATCATGACCCGAACCGGAAGTCAATTAACCAACTGAGTCACCCAGGCTTCCCACCATGGACTTATTGTTATTTGCACTTGGTATGATGGTATTATGATTCTGGAAGAAAACACTCATTTTTTTTTTTTTTCAGAGATGTATCCTCAACTTATGTAGGGAAAAAGTGACACGATGTCCGAGGTTTTCCCTAAAATAGACAAGAAAAAGAAAACAGACGAAAGAAATATCCAGCTTCCCACTGAAGCTGGATAATGACTTTCAATTTATTATTTTCACCCCTTTGCTTATGTCTGGTGTTTGTCATTAACATGAAAGAAGAATCAAGAGAAAGAAAGATACTTTGGGAAAAGATTTCACACAAAATGAAAGAATGATAGGATTTTCTATTCTCTGTTTTAAGTTGGCCCATGATATCTGCCTATCTCAAGCCAACCTCGTGCAATAACCTTCAGAATAAACTACAAGGATTTACGGGGAGACCAACAGCGATGGTGCTGATTTTTGGTGGAAGTTTAAGTGGAGAGAGAAATAAATCTCTGAATCAAATAACAAATGATACAGGAAATGCCACCATAGTTAGCCTGGTGAGCCTGACAATTCTTACTGTCTCTTGCTAACGGAGAAATGCATTTTAAAGTATTTTATTATTTCTCTAAGCATTCTGTCAGCTTGATTAATACACCTAAAAACACATTTCCAATGTGATAAAAAGAACTAGTCAAAATCTTCTTTTAGAGTAAAAAATAAAATAAAGTCACTTTCCTCGATTCCAATAAGTTTGTACTGACCTGGGAAGCTCCATAGTAGACACCAAATGAGAGACGTCTGTCACACAAGCTGCCACTCAGTTCCAAGGCAGGTTGGTTAGCAACCTTATTAACTCTACCTCTACTTTGATGGTATAATAAGTCCATTTTGCTTTCTTTTGGGGAGATGCTGGTGTAGGAGTGCTTTTAGCTAGGAGAGACATGATCTCAGCTTCTAACTTGCAGTGACTAAGATCTAACAATTGTGATGACTGGAAAGGTGTCAATATCAATGTACATTTCTTTGTGCTAAAACTGTACAACTAATGGGACACGAGCGGTGATAAAGCTAGAAAAGAGCAAACGACTTCCCATAATTCTCCAATTAGACAACTCACGTTTGATGCTGTTTCCTGATTTAAGAGGCATTTTCATATAAATTCCTCCATCTGATCTCCATGTTCACCCTGCAGGCTGGCAGGGATTTTATCATTCAAAGGGCTACTTTACAAGGAAGCAGAGGCTCTGGGGGCAAAATGATGACTTCCTCATGGGCATAGAGTCCCTACAGCAGTGGTGACGAGACCACTGATCTATCATCAGTAAATTACTTAGAGTGAAATAGGACAGGAGAACCGAAAAGTGAAGCCATGCTAAATGCTGCTTACCTTTCAAAGCCAATCTGCCGAAATGTCTTTTCCCATGTTGAGCCTGTAAATGAGACGAAAGAACATAATTAACTGATGTACCTCAAGCATGCAGTTAGTTTTGTCCTCTTTTTGCACACCCTGGTAGATACTTGGCTTTACAGTTACATGGGATGAGTTTTCCCTCAAATTCATCGTTCCCACCACCAGTCCCCAAATGGCCCTTTTAGAGAACATTCCACACAACAAACAAGTGACAAAGCTCTACCTCCCTTTCCTCTGGTTATACTGTAGGCCACAAAATCACACTCTAAGAGTCCGAATGCATCAGAATAACAGGAGTAAAACTCTCCTGTCTAAATTAGCGCAACAGCATCTTGTAAGTTGTAGTCGCTAAAATTCAACTTTTAATTTCATGTGGCACATGGAAAGCAAGATGGCGCCCTCAAGGTCTAACTCATTAAACACCAGGCCTTTTTCTCACCAGTGTTGAAGCACAAAGATGAACAGTTCTTTCTTTTTAAAGCTAAACATTTAAATCAGAAGTCTCTTGCATGTAAAACATACTGTTTCCAGTGACATGATTTAAAGAGTAGTATATCCAAATCCATAAAAGAACAGCTGGGCTTTAAAAAAAGATTTTCTATAATATTTTTCATGTAATAATTCTTCCCTACCTTATAGGTATAATAATTTCCTGAGAACCCGATAGACAGAAGAGTGCTAAATTTTTGTTTTTTATCAAAGACCACTTTAATAAAAACTGCATTAATAGAAGTTAAGGGTTTGTACTAACTCATGGTTTGACGATTTACATGAGTCAGTGGCAAATACATTTTGAGTTCAGCACTCACTCACTTAGCCCTAAATTCGTGAGTTATGCTTTGCATTAGCTTGTTAATCACAGCAGATAATCACTGCCCTTCTGTACAACTGATTTCTGCAAACAGGAAACGGGAGATTCAGCACTGGGTCTCCAGAGGCAGATAAAGTCTACCTTGTTTGTTTTCCCCCAAGTCACAGTGAACTACGATGGTGCTGTATCTCTTTCTAGAGAATTCGGCTTCAGATGCTTTACTGTCTGGTGGCAACTCAGCGTCTCCTAGGGTTAGGCTTCCTGGAAAGGCAGGGGATTATACAGTGGTTTCCCTGGGCCCTCTCTGAAGACTGAGTCCCAAGAGAGCATGAATATGATGTTTGCCTTCGGTTCATATACTTGGTTATGACGAAGCATTTTAAACAAGTATTCTACATAATAAAGGACTACATTTTTGTTATGAATTACGAGCACACACACACACACACACACACACACACACACACAAAGATTTAAAGCAGATTCAGGCTTATCTCTTTGGATGAAGTCACTCTTATCCAATTGAATTCCAGTATGCTTTGCAGAGTAAAAGTAGGAGTCGTGGAATTTTAGTTAACCAGCCCAGAAATGTCCATGGCTCCTCATCCAGGGGAGTGGGCCCATATGAATGTCATCTGTCCTGTGAGTCACAGGCAATTCAAAATCCCTATCTCAGGAATTCTTGGAAGACAATTATCCTGCCCCTGAGATACTAGCAATTAAGACCCTGGCAAAACATAACAGAACCTGAGTCAGAAACCACACTGTATTCAAAGACAGCTGGCAACAGCCTGGCCCAAACAGAGAAGTGGGAGAGATTAAGAGTCTCCTGCCAAGTGAGAACCAGACAGTCTGAGCTCAGACCGAGTGGCAAGGGTCTAGGGGAGGCTGAAGGGGTTCATGAGAGGGTCCGGACGCTATTCTCGTTGACTTGCTTCCGGTGAGAAACAAAGCACCTTTACATTTTTTTCTACATTTTCATTTTTTTTTGCCCAGATCTGCTGCGTGCATCCCTAAACTCTTTTTTTAAATACGTTTTTAAGGGGCGCCTGGGTGGCGCAGTCGGTTAAGCGTCCGACTTCAGCCAGGTCACGATCTCGCGTTCTGTGAGTTCGAGCCCCGCGTCGGGCTCTGGGCTGATGGCTCAGAGCCTGGAGCCTGTTTCTGATTCTGTGTCTCCCTCTCTCTCTGACCCTCCCCCGTTCATGCTCTGTCTCTCTCTGTCCCAAAAATAAATAAAGGGTTGAAAGAAAAAAATAAATAAATAAATTTTTCAGAAAACTCCCCTTTTTAATAGATCTATTATCTATTATCTGTTATCAGGCTCTTAAAACATGAAACTTTAGTTAAGATATAGGTTCCGGGGCGCCTGGGTGGCTCAGTCAGTTAAGTGTCCATCTTTGGCTCAGGTCAGGATCTCGCAGTCCGTGAGTTCAAGCCCCGTGTCGCGCTCTGTGTTGACAGCTCAGAGCCTGGAGCCTGCTTTGGATTCTGTGTCTCCCTCTCTCTCTGCCCCTCCCGCCCCCCAAAAAAATAAACTAAAAAAAAAAAAAAAAAGAAATAGGTTCCCTCTTCACATTTCTTAGTAAACTCACTCAAATAAGCAGAACAAGATAAAAGTTTTTGGTGCAAGACTCCCAGCACTCCTTGGAATAAATTTTCTTCAGCCACTCAACCAAGCACAATAGAGATGGTAGAAAAACGACTTCCTTCTAGTGGCCAGATACTAACTTAATTGATACTTTGAGCATCTTACCTACAACTGGCATTCATCATTGTTTGCTGTGGATACTCTACTAATCATCTTACTGTGTTAGTTACACGACTGAATATATTAAAATATGGTTTCTGCCCTCCAACACCACATACCCTGGAGGTTTGGGTTTTTATGTCTTTTGTGAGCACTGAGTCATGATGAAATGAGAAACACACAATAAATGAAACAGACATATCCAGATCCCTCTGGCACCAAGAATATTTTTGGCAGCTCATTATTCAGTTGTTGGGGAATTCTTTTAAAGCCATTAACCATGTTTTACATGGTAAGGTAATATTATTCTCCTTTGCTGGAGCGGTCCAACAGGGAGAGAGAAAAGTAGGGATAACAAAAGTAGCTGGCAGACTTCCTTGATTCAACACTTTTCAAATGAGGTTTATAATATGGAGAAGTCTAAAACATGTTCCATTCTTCAAGGGAAAGCAAAGGACAGCAACAACAAAAAGAAAAATATATGGCATAGAATATCAGATACAAAGCCTAGGGGCGTTTTTCCTTTCTGATTGTAGATGGAGTCAGAAATAATGAATTAGGATTCTTTAGTTCTAAAAATCGCCCTTGATAGCGCAGAACTGAAGCGTGGAATGGGGTATGACAGCGTCCAGAAGCTGCAAACAAACCAAGACTCAAGGCCATTCAGTCTGTACAGCAAGTTCCCGAATCAATGCTGTGTGTGCCCAAGGTTAACAAAATGCCCTGTAGCATCCTGCAGCACAGACTCTTCAAGGGGGGCACCACCATGCAGAGAAGTGCAGGACATTTCCTCCTTGAAGAAATGAATCAACCATCGCTCCTTTACAGAACAAACAAAACACTATCCATTCTCTCTCTCCCTCTCACCCCCATTTTCCAATTGGCATCTGAAGATCCAAGTTCCCGTTCTTTCCATAAGAGAAAGAAGTTATGGAAACTGCTTTTCTTGGGAACCGTCTTCCCCAAGCCCAATGGGTGGGTTCTGCTGGGGCTCCCTGGCCCCGGAGGCAGGGAAATCTAGACTTGGGGCCACAGAGTCAACGTTCTGAACCTCCTTACTAATTGCTTTGTCATCCTGTCTTCTTGCCTTTCCATCCTTCTTCACCTTCCTTTCCTTACTCTCCTTGCTATCATTTGTCTCTCACCCTGATCTGGCCTCAATATGGAATTCAAAACAATTTTTTAATTTTACAAAGTTTGCTGTGTCTGGTTATTAATTTCAGAAGCAGGTGAGAGCCTCCAGTAGAAGATATATCATCAAACACCTTCCCGTATGATCTTTCATCTAGGACCTGTGAGTTTCCAAAACTATGTTAATTCTGTTTAGCACTCAGCATGACACCTAAGAGTGCGATTTATACAAACATACATAGACAGAAGGCCACACGCCAAAATGTAACCTGAACATGATGGGACGGGGTCGATTAATTTTGACTCCTTCAAATTTGTTTATTAGTGGTAGTGTAAAATCGCAGGGCTGGGCCTGTTGTTTGAAACCAGCCATTCAAGTTCCAGGGTGTCCAACAGGTCCCTTTCAGTTCGTAATTTTCTGTTTTTCATAGACGTCAATTTACGTCCTTCGGTCATAAATTGGTCACTCGCTTTATTATGTTTCCTCAGCGATTACTTTTATCAGTCATTCTTTCAATCTGTTGCTCAATTTCTAATACAAAAAGAAAGTAACATGATTTTTCCTACAGGCTTCATAATGCACTGGTAGACCTGGTGGCCATATGGGGCAGAGATTTTCTTCCAACTGAACAGTTTTAGCCCAAGTATGTCTCAGATGTTGAGAGCCACTTGAACTTGGACCTACACCTCTGCTTTTTTTTTTTTTTCCAAAATAATTAGCAGAAAAGGACTAATAATTCATAGAAGTGGTAGATGTTTGCCAGCACATTCCTATAAAAATGGAAGTACTTTTTATATATCGCAGGGGCCGCCAGGCAGCTGAACGTGTGGCCTGGCACAGAATTCGGTGATCAAACACAAATACCAGGAAATTAGACCGCTTACAAGTTTTCTGGTGGAAGCTTCATTTACATTATTTTTAACTCCTGAGAGACGTTCACATCTACGCCACAAGTCAAGATTGTACCATGCATCTAACGTTGAACATAATGTGAAATTCTAGGAGAAAAATAGATTCTTCTCAGTTGGCCGGCAGTGACAGTTCACTTTGCAAATATGAAGATGCTCTTGGGTTGAACTGTGCTAAAAATCTCTTAAACCACAGAAATGGCTGTTATAATGAATGATATGAACCCAAGTAATGCAACTTTCCCAGCCACTGAGCATGTCTGTAGCACTCTGGGTTACATGGTGAGAGATCCGTCAAATTTTCGGCATCCTAACTCCCAGATGAGATTTGCTATTAATTGGTTAAAAGTCATTGCGAAAGATAAAGAAAAAAAATTCTTCACCATCCCTTATTTAATAATTTTCATATTCAATGACA